TAGTGGAAGAAGTTAGGGGAACTTCGCCGTTAAATGATAAGCTGAGAGCCTGGTAGCACCTATCAGTATCAAAGCTAGGCGAGAGTTCAATACATCCGGGAGACAACGAAGTCAATTTCCAAAATGTGTTTCACTACACTACGACCCCATCACGGAGTGCTAAACACAGGACATTTAACAAAACCACTCCGCAGAAACGATCCCGCTTAAGGGAACAATTCTGGTTGGTATCAGCGTCTCTATAGATTTCCAAACTTTCTGCCAGCGACGGCAAAGACAATCTTACCACATCACTAGCTGCACTGTTGCTTATCTAGGATTAGGCAGTCGAAGTTATTGATGCAGTGAGACACGCTCTGGGTCACACACAACTGTCAAATCACACTATACCCTACCAGTATGAAGAACAGGAAGTACAGAGAAACAGTAAACTGTGAGAGCACTTCGCAGATGTGTCCACAAAATTAAACGCTCTATTGTAACCCAGAAAACTGTGTAGTTGGTCAGCAGTAGGTGTATCGCTGTCCCATGTACAATCCGTGCAAGCGATTCGGTCAGAAATTTGTCATATTCTCGGAGTGTGTGAGCCGAAATAGGACCGAAATAGGTTACAGTGTTCAGATAGTTGGTATCCTGGGATGAAACTACACATAAGGTTGTTGAAAAGTGTTGGACATCCTGCAAACGACTTCGGACTGCTCCTGTCTGATGAGCCCTGAAAAGGGCGATTTAGCCGTGGGCTAAATCGTTTCGTCTAAAAAGAGAAGTGAATCAAGCCGCTTTGAAATTAAATGTCTCTTCTATGGTTATCTCCGCTAACATCCAACACCGTAAGCTGCAGTGGCTTGGTCATGTGCTACGCATGGCTAAAAAACAACTACCGAAAGGGCCGTTACTCCCTGTGCATCCTTCAGAATGAAGGAAACGGCGAGCAAGATAACGGTTGGCAGGGTGCGTTTCAGGGTGGGGACCCCATGACCTATCTCCCGATCCTAGCTAGAGGCAATGCAAGAAATGGAGGCTAATAGATGTTATCGGCGTTCGTGCTGTCAGTTTCTTTCCCGCTGTCTGATTGAGCACTTAGTGTATGTACCTCGGGATACACGTGGTAGGCTAGTACCAGGACGCCATCACACCCACTCTTCTTTTTCCACTCTAAGGAATTAAATGTAGTTAGACTTTCCTATTGTACGGCGGTGATGCATCAGTGTCAACGCTGACGTTAATACCGCTGACGATTTCCATGTAACCAGGCGCAAGAGTTAAGCTAACTTTATACTGCCTAAAAAGTATTCAGTCAACCCATGTGGTTACCCAGAATATATGAACGGCTGATTTTCATGCCCTGCATCGTCTGCGTGTGTTCAACTGAAATGTACTCACTCGAAAATCCTATGAAGCCAAACAAGGCATCAGAAATGTTGAGACGGAGCGTTTCCTCGTTTAATGAATAGAATTATCCCAAGGGTCGACCGCTTGCAAGGACAGTCGCGAACCCTATGTAGAATAGATGCAATGCACTACTCATAAGGTTGCTGAAAATTATTTGACAACCCAAGACCAGTTTCGCTCTTCTTAAAGCGAGTCCCCAAGTCCCCGAGTTGCCGTCAAGTTAGGTTCAAGTAAAGCATAAAATTGACACAATCCCGGGGACGCGCCTACCTGATGAGCCCCAAGAAGGGCGAAATCGATCGTGGGCTGTCGAAGAATTTTCAGCAACCTTACCAGTAGCGTATCAAATATATACATGTATCGCGATATCTCGAATATCGTAGCGACTGAAACATGAGGCGGCCTGGTGCAGCACATTCAGTTGCCTAGAAACATCACAAGCGGGAGATTTAGTTGGGTTCTAAGTGAGTCTCTCGAAAAACCAAATTTGCTTGCTTTATGTAGAATACTTGTGTGAACAGGCTTCTCCTTAAGGCAGGTTACATGAAACAACACTGTTAGAACAGTATTAGCTACTCCGCCGCCCAATTATACAAAATCTTAGGCAAATTAATCAAATTCCAGAAAGACCCACTGGAAACTTAATGCCTGGTTCGAACACGGTACATCACTTGTGAGTACGTCATTTCGCCCTTGGTACTGCAACGCTTATGCCGATCCGTCTAGAGGAAATACGCCATAGAGTTCCACCTGGGGCTGTTACAGTGAAACACGTGACATGAATCCATCGACGACCAGAGGCAGCGTACAGTATCCGACTGCTGGTGAATAGCACAGGATTAACAAGTATTTGACGTGGCTATGCTAGATAAACCCCATGTGTGGGATAAAAGTGAGGTATTATCCGTCTTATGCAGGAAAAATACTTTGATCTCGTAAGCGCCCCCTCAACTAAACCTTTGCGCCTCAAAATCAGTCGAAGAACATCGCTGAAGGTCCGTTTGAATCCCACGTTACCACAGTCTCAGTTTTCAAATAATCATGTAACTGGGTATTATTCTTCCATTTCACTCTTCACTAAGATTAATACAGCTTCATGATTACATGGCGAGTTCAAGGACACTCAAACTCCCGATAAATCAGCAATCTGCCAGGGTGGCTTATTAATAGACCCATCCTGTCTACTTGTCTGTAGACTGGAAAAAGCTAATGGAAATGAAGAAATAAAGTCGGGACACTATGAATAGGAGTCCTGGGACAACACAAAATAATGACTAACGGCATTCGGACAGGGTCAGTCACGTGATTAACAGCACTCCTGCACATAAGCTATCGCTCTCAGAGTAGCATTCGAGAAACACATTCCGATCAAAAAGTACAGCCATCCAATTCCAATCAACACAAGGTCATCTTCCGCCTCCTCTGCGTGACTATGCTCAATTTGAAATATTCGGCTTCAATGAAATAGCGTAGCACGCGAAACTTAGGTAGGCAGTCTGTTTTCGAACTTTGAGAAACTGGTGTAGGCAAAGACAGGCTGCAAAGATTTCTGTTGCAGCCGTCTGAATAACTAACCTATTGGATGACCCTTGCCAGAAACAAAATACAGCCAGACACTGATGCCCATGGGATGAGAAGCAGAGAACTCAACAAAAGAGATTACTGAGGTTAGGAAAGTATACATTTTGTCTGTTATTCCTTCACACTATGTACAAGAAACGAAAATAGCACAACAAAATCAGAGAGAAATGTGACAGAACAAGCACGTTTCCAAGTTATCGGTAGTAAGCGGGACGAGCAACGTGAATTCCACGATCATTCAATGCGGCTATGAGGTCATCCAGCGTGAGAGTGGCTCGACGATCCGTGGGATTGCGAGGTGCACCTGCAGTGCTCTTCACACCTGACATTAGAGAACAAGAACATAACGACTGATTATCAAGTATAAGATGTGGGAAACGGTGATTCAACTCTATTTCTAAAAAATCGTTAGCCCCTTTTCATGCGAAAGGTGCGATAGGAAACAATATAGTGACTACATCACTAAATCAGCACCTAACCTGCTCACCTACAGTAAACTGGTAGACCATAGTTTTGCTCTCAATAGAGCTCAACAGTAGTGCACATCCCTAGCCATACAGGAATATAAACCTTGGACATCTATCTGCTCTGTGAGGCGAACGTGTTCGTGCTTGAAAGACGGGTTTGCCAAAATCTCGGACGGGGACCCAGTAACTATCTTGGCTGTCGTCAACAGCATCATCGTGGGCTTGCCGTCACGGTTTTTGTTCACCGATGATTTGGGAAAGTGGGGTAGGTGGCTCCACACTGGAGGCGGTAGCTGGTGTAATTGAGGTCTTAATACTGCGTTGTGAGTGCGGGCAGATTGGGAGGGGAGCTATGCATTGAAGGCACCAGCTTGAATGCATGAGCACCACTGAGGGCACGACTGGGCCATGTCTGACAATATTCCTAACTGTTAATGTGTCCCTTCTCGGAATCCTCGATCAGGAAGACAGAAATGATCAGCGCAGCTGGATTTTCTGGTACTGGCCTCCATACTCCACTGCCAAATCACTGTTTGACCCCCGTGACTCATTTCCACCCTTCACGCGGTTGTGCGAAAAGAGCCCTTCAAGGAAATCGGTCGGCTGGCATACGAAGCACGTGACCAAGCCAACATAACTCATGGAGTGTGACCAGTCCATCTGTCGTGGAAAACCATTCGAAGTACTTCGGCATTACTGATCCGGTTTGCCCACCAAACTCGGGCAATGGTTTGAATACACCATGGACACTTGTTATCACTACCACTACATCACTTTACAATGTCATTGCCATATTAATCTTACTACATTAATGTCGTATTATTTTACTTCATTTAGAATGTGCATAATGGGATGACTCGTTAGTCGATAGAACAGCTATTCCTGCAGGCTTGAAATGCTTCCAGACGCGACACACCTCAGTGTAACAAAACAAAGAGGCTCGATATGGACTTGCACCAAATGTGGACGCACAAGCCCTAGGATGACAAAACTTGTCGGCCAGCAGCGTACTCACCAGTCCATCTGCCAAATGTGAACAACTGGAACCGATGTATGTAGATTCCATTTTCAGATCGCTACCTATTCGAAACTGTCACCCTAACGATGACACGTCACTGAAAGTGAGTTTAACGGAATACCTTCACCGGGTTGATGACGCGCTAGTGAGTGCTCCATGAAATGATTGCATGCTGCTATTCAGGAGGAGACGCCAGCATATCAACGATAAACAACCAACTGTTGCATGTGCCGACTGTTATGCCATCATGTTTGGGTTGACTGATGGTCTGCAACAACCCTGTACTTTCACATACCCATAGTAACCCCTCGTTTCTACATCGGTACCAAGAGTTTGCATGCGGCACCACATTCGGCAAACAGAGTATGGACCTCGACTATACGGAGATCTCCAGTACTCTGCCGACTGTCGACCGGCAAATCTGAATGCTAGCCAATCATTATTACCTTCATCATCACCAACGTCATTTTGAACAACACCAAAGTGTTTATCTTAACCTGCGCGCAGACATATCGATTAGCAGCGAGCGGAAAACGGCTTACTGGCACTGGGGGACTGAAGATTTGCGGAAGTTATACCGTTGGACATCGAGACAGATCCGGCAGGCGACTGCGCTGTGGCTGACTGCGAAGTGACCGGCATGGAAGATGAATTGCTCAACAGACCAGTCGAAAGCCCGTTTGCCATTCGCCAATTGCCCATTGCATCGGTCAGAATATCAGTCAGGAACTTTTGTCCGGCTAGGCTAACCAGGCGGGCTAAACGCGGGTCTCCATTCTCAAACTGTACGCCCACACCTTCTAAGATCGCGGTCGACAACCGATCAGGAATCTGAGGAAGGGGTGCATGGGAATTTGCAAAACAAGATTAAACTCGGGACCAAATTCAACTGAAAACGAAAGGAAATGAAGACGGCAAATGGGCACAAAGGAGTAATTTTCTGGATAACAAAAACTGTTCTGCAAGCCATACGAAAGCCGGTATCGGCTTCAGGATTAGTAGCCTCCGAGAATATCCGAGCAGACAACAATATAAGGCGGTAGCAGACGAAAACTGCGAGGCTTTGGTCACCACCGGAACAAAGTGATGAAGATTATAGATGACCAAACTTGTGGTGCGCCAACGAATGAATACTGAATGGATGACAAAACAGGTCGTTTCGATATGGTACGTCCTTGATTGCCAACAGACCACACTTGTACGTATTCACGTTTTTTTAAAAAAGCTTGACGGATAATATACAACGTAATCTGGTCCATTGTCACCCAGATTGCTACTGGTCCACAAGAGCGTTTCAGCTAAGAATGGAGTAAAACCTATGCAAGAATCAGTACGGTTATCGAATCATAATTCGTGCACGAAACTTGTAAACCAGAACGAAGCGTATTTTGCAGCATGCGACTTGATCAAGAGAGAGAGCGAGAGATTCATTTGATAGGTAACGGAAAGGGCGGAAGCCGAATCCAAAAAGCGAACAGATGATTAGTTCAGCCATCACAGCGAAATGTCAATAGGCTGCAGAACAAGGAAAATGCCATCATTCTGCGGACTATTGAAGAGTTTTTACTTTGACAGACGTGTTCCAGTGTACTCTCACAGCATTTTTATGCAACGGAAAAGGCCTTTTCAACCGCTGTTCTCGTGTTACCTGCCTCATGTTCTGTATGCATTGTATGAACTGTGGGTTCTTGTGGTGACTATTCTAACAAAAGGGAAACATTTTAAACCAAAGTAATATGAAGTAGTCAGGAAGGTCCGTGGTTCGAAGTCCGACCTCTGCCTCTCGACTTCCCCTGGCTAGGCTTGGATAAGCTGGCACTATCTCAGCTCTCGTGTTTCTTACTGGTGACATGGCAACTAGACACCGAAAGAGTGCTACACCTGAACAAACTTTTTATAAGCAGCGGTCACGCTCGTGTGGACAGTATAATTTGCACTGTGCATGTTGCGAACCAGTCGCCTGTTGTCACAACCTACTTTCTGTTGGAGAACATAGAACCTAGAGAAAAGATAACATATTATAAGAGACCATGTTGTAACCGACAGGATAAGCTCTACGGTCTCCGAACATCATCATTATCATCATCATCGACAGCATGACATCAGCGTTCAACACCGACGCTTCACTGCCGTCTCCGAACAAGTGAATGGTATTGATTATCTACCCCATATTGAGCCAAAGTAATCTAGGGAATTGGGGATATCCCGGCTGAGGACTGGCGTCACAACTGAAAGGTGACGGGCCGCCACCCATGCTGAAAATTCATGCCCATACAGTTCAAATAAAATAGAATCCCTTAGTGTTGTGTTTCACCTCTGTCGATCCACCTCCATGGGAGTGATGAAAAAATCAATTTCGATCCCAACCAACCGCTCTATTTTTGCCAGACAATCTACGTCCACTTAAAGAAAAAGCTAACGAAGCAAAGTAGCTACATCGTAAATGCATTGTTTAGTAAGTAAAACTATCATATGAATTCATTTCGTACAACCTCTGCGTAGTATCTGTAAAATGGAATGGAATGAAACAATTTACGGGGATAGTGGCACCGTTTATAGGAAACTAGAACGAACTTCAATCATTCAATAAAATTTTTGGCTCATCATTCAAGGTCATGGCCCGAAACAATAAGCCACATAAACTGAGGTTCATCAGGGCAATATTGACTGGTCGATTCAAATATGTACCCCGTGATCGGCAAGGTTTGAGCGTGACTCTGAAACTGTGGTGGTTTTTCTGTTGAGCAGGTTGCATCACCGTACAAACGAAGCAACTAATCCTGTAACTAAGCGAAATATACTCACTCGCAAACAAATTTGGTTTTTCGAGAGACTCAACTGGAAATCAGCTGAATCTCTCGTTTTTGGTGTTTCCAGGCAACTGAATGTGCTGCACAAGGCCGCCTCATGTTTCAGTCGCTAAGATATGCGAGAAATCGAGATACTTGTGTGTTCGTACTGCACTACTCATAAGGTTGCTTTCGCCCTTCTCGGGGCTCATCAGGTAGGAACAGTCCCCGAGCTTCCGTCAACCTTATGTTCTCGCAAACCCAAATCAGTTTGCAAATGAGCGTATTTCGTTCATTTCGTGCAATTTGGTTTCAAGTAGAATATAAGGTTGTCGGAAACTCGAGGACTGTGCCTACCTTATGAGCCCCAAGGGGGGCGAAACCGGTTATGGATTGTCAAAAAATTCTGTAACTTGTTTCATTTCGTTCTGTTTTGTACACATTACGGCGGAATGGATTTTACGAAATGAATGCATCCCGCAACAATGTCCTTTCTAATGAATCGTCCGACCTGCTCCAAAGATCACAATACCTTGAATAAAATTCCGCCTGTATGTTGGTTTCTCTCTGTGAGACGAATGCGTGCGGGCAATGCTCCTGAAAACACGCGCCGAATGCGAATTGTAGACTCACGCACATTTTTGAACTGTCCGGACTTAATCTTATCAGGCCTCCAGACATCATCTAAGCACGTGTTACAAGTGGAATGTCTGGGTGTCTAAGAACCCCCCATTGTTGGCGACATTCAACTCTGCATATTACTATTAATCATTGAGCATGGTGGTCTAGAAAATGCAAATAACGGGCGCTAACTTACTAAAACGTTTGATCTCGTGAGTTCTTCTATAGTATCTTACTCTAGAGGTGAACGTTCATAGTTGAATTAGTCGCCATAAAGTCCATAGCAAGCTTTTTTACATGCGTTAGTATGTCTGGAGAAAAAATTCCTTTAACATCTGAAAAGATATCGCATTAGTGAACCATTCGAAAACACGGAAACACGACTTTTTCATCTCTTATCGGATTGATGAGGTCGCTGTCAAGGTTGAAGAACTATAAAAAATCGTTCAGCTGATTAGCTGCCGTGCCACCCGAAGGACGCACGAGGGCTGTCATACTGTCAGATTGCCCAAGCCCAGACAGGGGAAGTCGAGAGGCGGAGGTCGGATTCGAACCACAGGCCTTCCAGTCAGTAAATTCGCGCTTTAACCACCGAACTATAAAACAATGGTTGGAGGCTCCAGTTCTACTGAAAATCCCTTCCTGAAAGTACCACTCCAAAATGACACGTCTGTTGAAACGCTGATGTCGAGCTACAGCTGTTGTCAAACGGCGAGGCGCAAAATTCCCCCCACATGGAACCATCGACTCTACCAGGTAGCTCCATGCTACTGTTGAAAAAGTTAAGATATTTCGGCGACTAGGCACGCGTTCTAAAGGTATTCTACTTATGAGTCGAACACTAGCGCGCCTATCGGATTCGGAGAGGATAATGCGTGGGTTCACAAGTTTCATATAATTAAGAGAGAATTTAATGTTCCGTCTACTGAAGGTGTGTGGATAACCCAGTAGTGAAGATCGAGGTGTCTCAGTGGTTATGGGACAAATTGGAAGTTTTGTGGTTCGAACTCAAGACTGCTCCTGTCTATTATTTGGCAGTCTAGCAGTATTTCACAACTCTGCATATTACTATTAATCATTGAGCATGGTGGTCTAGAAAATGCAAATAACGGGCGCTAACTTACTAAAACGTTTGATCTCGTGAGTTCTTCTATAGTATCTTACTCTAGAGGTGAACGTTCATAGTTGAATTAGTCGCCATAAAGTCCATAGCAAGCTTTTTTACATGCGTTAGTATGTCTGGAGAAAAAATTCCTTTAACATCTGAAAAGATATCGCATTAGTGAACCATTCGAAAACACAGAAACACGACTTTTTTCATCTCTTATCGGATTGATGAGATCACTGTCAAGGTTGAAGAACTATAAAAAATCGTTCAGCTGATTAGCTGCCGTGCCACCCGAAGGACGCACGAGGGCTGTCATACTGTCAGATTGCCCAAGCCCAGACAGGGGAAGTCGAGAGGCGGAGGTCGGATTCGAACCACAGGCCTTCCAGTCAGTAAATTCGCGCTTTAACCACCGAACTATAAAACAATGGTTGGAGGCTCCAGTTCTACTGAAAATCCCTTCCTGAAAGTACCACTCCAAAATGACACGTCTGTTGAAACGCTGATGTCGAGCTACAGCTGTTGTCAAACGGCGAGGCGCAAAATTCCCCCCACATGGAACCATCGACTCTACCAGGTAGCTCCATGCTACTGTTGAAAAAGTTAAGATATTTCGGCGACTAGGCACGCGTTCTAAAGGTATTCTACTTATGAGTCGAACACTAGCTCGCCCATCGGATTCGGAGAGGATAATGCGTGGGTTCACAAGTTTCATATAATTAAGAGAGAATTTAATGTTCCGTCTACTGAAGGTGTGTGGATAACCCAGTAGTGGAGATCGAGGTGTCTCAGTGGTTATGGGACGAATTGGAAGTTTTGTAATTCGAACTCAAGACTGCTCCTGTCTATTATTTGGCAGTCTAGCAGTATTTCAGCTCTCGCACTTCCTTCGGGTGGTGTGGCAGCTAAGGACCAAAAGGGTATTACAGCTGAACAAGCACGAACGAACTCATAGCCCCAAACAGCACCGGGATAAGCCAGTATAGTGAATGTGTAAAACCCACTTTACATTCGCGCTACTGTGAGTCACACACCCAAAGCAAAATCAAAGCGGAGGGCCGAGGAAAATCCACTAAAATCTTTTCCGAGTAGACGACACTATGGAATGGTCTCACAATCTTCTCCCACTTTTGGCACCAGTTGATCAGTCTTATTATTGTGGATTCTGCGTTCGTCTTTCGAAGAGAGTTGTCACCAAAATTGATTCCAGTCATCGGAATAAGAACTATGGGGGAAACGTGGTAAGCCATATAACCTAGTCATCTAGTATAGTGATTGTGACATCTAGACTACATCGCTTTTGCTCTTTCCTTTACATGAAAGACTCTGGAGTGACCAAAACCTAGACTGGAATCCGGGTTAAAAGATAAGGGTCTCTGAATCATCGATAGATAAACTATTTTCGACACACAAATATGCCCAGTACATCAATCATGCTAACCGAAAAATGAAACTTTTCACTATAGGAAACCGCAATTTATGCTTACCGTAGGTTGGATCCGATCCAGTTGGGTCCAAAAATTGGCCAACAATGGATCAGACGATGCATTGTTGTTGGTCTCCGATGACTGTGTGACTGCGGCTGAGGGGACGACTAAACTAGGTTTCGTTTGTCCGGGTTGTGGTTGCTCAAATGTCATGAGATAAAAGCTAAAAAAGAGGGAGACACTTTGTTCACGCAGCAATCACACGACGTCATCCTTGTCGACAGATAATTAAGGCCAAAGACTTGACACTTGAGCCTTTCACGAGATGTTACCTAATAGATTACGAGTTGGATGAAGTCCTTGAAAACCAACTGTAACCATAAGGGAAACTACTCACAAGGTTGTTGAGAACTCTTCGACAGCCCACGACCGGTTTCGCCCAGGTAGGCGCAGTCCCCGAGTCAACATCAACCTTATATTCTACTTGAACCCATTTTGATGGGCCTCCTGGCATACTTTTTCATCAAAACAGAAGCTGAGTACAAAGATGGGGCCCGCGGGTAGAACCCGTCTACAGCGATGTGAAAATCAAAATAAATCCCGAAATAGTTGTACGTTGAAACTAGATAGGTTCATTCGTCCCAGTAAAAATAATTAATGCTAGGTTACTTCTCCGTATACCCAGATATTTGGGATAGACCAGCTCAGAAACAGTACAACCATTAAGCAAGATACGCCGATGGAAGGAAACAACATACCCTTGGGCGAGAATGCGACTGTAAAATACTTCATGATTACCAACATGTTTAGTCCAAGCCCGTACAAAGTGATGAGTTGTGAAGATATAAAAAATTAAACTCATTGCTTTTCAAGTAATCAGTAATGCTGACTTTCGCAAGGTTGATACGCACTGCACAGTGTTCCCAAACTAGGCTAAATCGAGAATGGGCGTCACAATGTACCACATACAACCGAATTCTTTCAGCAAACCTGGGAGTCACATCAGGGTCCTTCGTTTGGTAGCCAGAGCAATCACCTACCTGGGAGTCACATCAGGGTCCTTCGTTTAGTAGCCAGAGCAATCAGCGCTTTTTTATCACCCGCTATCGGTTTCTCTCCAGATTTCCTGAATGAGTGTATTGAGGTATAGGCACCCAGGAATGATTGTAGTAGCTACCAGCAAGTCCCTTCCTTGCCCACTTTAATTATTTACTTCACAAAAAGGCTTTCAAATAAACCATGCTTGTACAGCAACGAAGCATCCGTGTTGAACAGTGACGTTATAGTATCGATGGTGAAGATGATGGGTGGTAAGTCGAGATAGCTTGGTGTTTAATGCGCGAGTTTCGTGACCAGAAGGTCCGTGGTTCGAACCCAGGTCCAGCATCTCGACTTCTCCTGTCTAGGCTTGGGCAAACTCACATTATCTCAGTCCTCGCGCTTCCTTCGGGTAGCATGGCAGCTAGGCACCAAACGGGAGTTGCTGCTTTAGCAATTGTTTATCTTTATTATATCAATGGTAACCAATTCATCAAGTGCTTTTCTAGCTGTTGTGAATTAACCGACTCCTTGTCCATTTCAGGTAGGGTTTCATTGGTGGTAAGCTCCTCAAAAACAGCAATCAGCGCTCTCATTCTTCCAACCGTCCAACTTGAGGTGAAGTTTGGCCTTCCAACTACGGTTTCCAACTGGTGCTTGGAAGGATCCCTGAATCAAAGAGCTTTTGAAAGTGGGTCGACAAGGTGATCCATTGAAAATAGGCACTTTTTAGTCAATCTACGCACATTAAGTAAAACATATGGAACCTCTACTTTCCAACGTGATTGAAATCGACAGACAGGAGATTAAAAATTTTATTGTCCAAAAAGAAAATAATAAAATAAACAAGAGTTTGTGTTTGCTAACTGCAGAAGTTATCCAGACGAATGATGGCTTCTTTGTCGAACACAGCCGGTCTACTAGATTCGCAGTCCATTGCATGGCTGCGATTAGCACTGTGTTCCTCAGCCCACCGCCAAATTCGACGGAGGTAGCCTGAGGAGGCGAGACCACGTACCCAAGGGGTGAAATCTTGTCGTTTGAGGTCACAATGGTTGTTGCTGCTAACAGCCTGCTGTTCAGTTTCAACACCAGTTGGCAACAATATGTTGTGTAGATCATCCTCCCCTATCCACTGGACGTCGCTGACCTCCTCAGGATTCAGTTTGACGAGGCCTGATTCCAGGTTTGTATCTGAAAGAACAGGTCGATCTCATTGAGCGAAGCCATTACGAGAGATTATACATGCATACCACTTATACATATAGTTACCGACCACTGTCCGATACAAGGATACGCGGTGCAACCTCGCAATAAAATGGTAGACTCAAGTTATAGGAAATCCAGCACTAAAAATACGGGAAAAGGACACAAATTTGGAAGCGCAATAGTAAGACGGTCCTTCCCTCTGGTGACGAATCACCAATAAGGAAGGAAAACACAGTGGGAAGCAGCCAATCAGCTGTAACACTCTTTTGGTGCCTAGCCGCCATGCCAACCGAAAGCAGAACGAGGGCCGAGATACTGCCAGGTTGCTCAAGCCTAGACAGGGGAAGTCGAGATGAAGAGGTTGGGTTGAAACGACAAACCTTCCGGTCAGTAAATTAGCGCCTTAACCCCTGGGTGCAGTTGAGTGAACATCAACGCGCAGCTTGTGCTACGTAGAATGCAGTTGGAATCAATCCGGAATTTCCGAAGCACTGAAGGCACCTCTGTTGGCAACCGTCCCATGAAACGATGAGTTGAAGACATAAGACCTGTGAAGCACTGAAGGCACCTCTGTTGGCAACCTTCCCATGAAACGATGAGTTGAAGACCTGCGGTTCGTATGAGATATGGTCCGTCTTTGGTAGAACTTGCAGTACTTAAATGAAATGCCCCGTGAAAGATAAGTTCTAGGGTAAAACATTAAAACCCGAACCGCGAAAAGATCGGCGGCCCGCCTTGCGGTCATCAAACTTGGAAAAAAGGTATAAAAGCAATTTCCGTATAGATTATGTAGATTGGACCTGTGTCGGAAGACCGTCCAACAGACTAACAAAGACTGCTTGTCAAATGACTCGACGCCTCCGCATCTGTCTCTGTAAACTACACATCCATTAAAGACTGAACAAAACTGTGTGGTGAGACAAGTAGGTGCATCAGAAAGATACGATAAGGATATAAATTCTGAAAACCTTTTCTCAACAACAATAATGTAGATCGGCTTAACGAAATTGTTCCAAGGGTAGTTGGTGGTTGGTTCGTTTTTTCCATGTACTTACGGGGTAATTTATAATTTCCTATACGCCACCCCGATTGTTTCATTACTTCCGCCTCGTTAATTTTCAAGATTTTTGCATTGCATTATTTCCGCACATTTGAATACGCATTTCCGTAGCCATAGGCGCGAGTGAACATCCTACTCGTAGCCTCGAGCTCAGATGATGCTGAACTTTGCTCGTCGTTCGCATTGAAGACATGTGCATGTTTTACGAAGGGGGATCACGTTTGTCCTGAGTACTACTTAACCCAGGCTGGTATAGTTTGTTCCCACGGACGACAGTTTGAACTAAAACGAATGCCCCTTATTGATCGAGATAGCTCAGTGGTTAAGGAGCGAACTTACTCACCGGAATGTCAATGGTTCGAACCCAATCTCAGGATCTCGATTGCTCCTGTCTAGGTTTGGGCAACCTGGCGGTATCCCAGTCCTTATGCCTCTTTCCGTTGGCTGGGCAGCTAGGCACCGAAGGCATGCAACAGCTGAATGATTTTTTTTATTGCTGCGAGAACTGATTGGTAAAAATTTCAAATAGGTCTGTGGATGTGGTCATCTCTCTTAATAGTGCACAAAATCAAGGAAAGAAGAGTGAGTAACTTGGTCATTTGTTAAAAGTTAATCAAGTTGTGGTGGTTGCTGTATTGATGAACACACGACAATCGCCTTACAATTTTGGGTCCATGGATTTCTTCTCGCGAGCTTCTACTATCAACAATGTACTAAGGTCCACTCCGGCGAAGCTTAAGAGCACTAAAGGTATCTCTTAGCAATGATTGGATAAACCAATAAGTTTAAGACACGTCACCTGTGTTTCCAATAAGATATGACCTATATTTGGAATTTGTGGAACTCGCGTAACTCTATTTGGGTGCCCCTTGGAACATACGTTCTAGCTTATCTGATAAAAATTTAAACTACAGAAAAACACGACGGCAGTAGTCGGCCGGAGGGTAGTAGTGCGCGTAGGATGAGACGCATTCACCGTCGTGGCCATGCCGGAATAACGAGGCTCCCTGTCACCGCAATCCCACTGTTGAGAACGTTGGAAGTTGGCCAGGTTTTAATGAGGAAAGTTATGAAAGATAATCTATTTCCAGCCATCCGCCCTACTTCTGAAAGCTTGGTAAGAGATCTGACTCTCTTTAGAGACACTGTGGTAATATCTACACTCCGGCAACTGCGTAACGGAACATATGGGACGGACTAATGGCTTAGAAAATGACAGGCCGGCAGATGTCGAAGTTAGACTAATTTACCAGGACCGTCTTCTGGACTCTTCTAAATGTCGCACCGTCAATTCTAACTTGAACGAGATC